ATAAACGGCACATGGAGCAAAGGAGCATGGGAGGAGCTGAGGTCACAAACAGCGCATGGAGCAAAGGAGTATAAAAAGAGATGAAACCACAAAATTGGTTCTCATTTTATCACCTAGGGCTTCCTAAACCCTGGGAAAGAATATGGGTCCTTCTGGAGTTTGTTGAATATTGGCCTGAATTTATTTTTTATCTTACACACACACACACACACACACACACACACACACACACACACGTATGTGTATTTTGTTGGTGCTGTGGACATGGTGGGTGAGATATGGGAAAGAGAAAGTATTAGCAGCAACAGCAAAAGCCCAAAAGCTGGAACTAGAACTTGGGAGGTTATAACCCGAGGGCAGCACACACGGCAGGAGATGGTCCAATATCTAGTGCTGATCCTTTTGCTGAACTTTACAATCATACCATTTTCTATAACAGAGATAATTGTGCCGTAAAAGCTAATTAGTTTTGGATATGATGAGAATATTGGAATTCATTCTTCCCTTACAAGGAATGTTTCCCTTAAAAGGAAAGGTCCAAGAGGCGTGGACCTTTGGACACTGGCCAAGGGAGGTTTGAAAGCTGCTGTGCCTTGATTGATGGTTCAGTTCTGATGGAAGCGAGGTGGATTCTGATCCAGGAATCTGCCTTTCCTTCAGCACCTTAGAGTCAACTCCCCACCCCACTCTCTCACCCATTTTATCACCGGTCTCAGTACCACTTGAGGGATCTATACCAGATGCAGCTTCAGGGGGACCAGAATGCTGGTGCCTTTGTTGGTTTGTTTGTTTGTTTGTTTTATTGCTGTTTTTTTTTTGTTGTTGTTTTTGAGCTGTTTGGCAGTGAGTTTGCAACCAGGAGTTGCCAGGCTGTTTGGTAGTGAGATGGATGTCTGGTAAGTGCATAGGTGGCTGGAAGAAGAGGCAGAAACATAGAAACATTTTTTTCCTTTGTGTGGTAAATATTTGCATTTCTGTCTTTTTGTGCCTCACCTTCCTTCCTTAACTGTATTGAATGGTCTTCTCAGTAAAGAGAACATTCTGTAATCTTCATTTTAAGAGAAGAGATTATTCAATGAATCTTGCCTATTTATAACAGTTCCATAGCCCACACTATTAAAATAATTAGAATTTATCTTTAGCTCTAACTTGGGTTTGGGGCATAGTGTAATCCGCTCTCAGTAGGTTTTACTAGCACTGGTTGGGTCTTATCAGATTGAGAACTCCAGAAGAGCAGTGTGTTCTGTTTGGGAGGACTAGTGAGATGGGCTGACTGTTCACTTACCATCTGCCTTCAAGTTTCTTGGCTATGTGTGTGTGTGTGTGTGTGAGTATGTGTGTGTGTGCGCGCGTGTGTGCACACGCTGATGATGATGATGGTGATAGGAAATCTTTATATACTCCGGGTATCAGCTGCTTTGGTTCATGTCTGGTTTTGGCTGTGTTGGTCTTTGTACCATGCTTCCTCTTTAGTGTTTTCCAACGGAGTGAACATAGAACGAGGTGTGCATGGGAATCACTTCCATATAAAGCAAATGTTGGTCTCTTTTGCCGAGGAGACCCCAAGGTCCTCCGGAGGGAGGAAGTGTTCATTCATTTTGAGGTCAAAAGTACCTTTCGCAGATGGACACTCAGCAGTTCTGTTTGACACAAACAATCTCTAGCCGAGTTAGGCAAACACAGAGTTAAGAATTACAACCAGGCCATGTGAAGAGCTGTCTTTTCCCACCTCACACTGTGATTTCACAGTTGCTGGAGAGGAACTCAAGGAGAGAGCTTCACCAAGAGGGGCCTGTGGAGAGTTGCCAGGAAGCCTGAGACTGGCCTGCTAGATTAGATAAAGGTTATTTTTAATTTATTGGTGCTCAGAATCTAATCCTGGCTAAACCAAAATCAAATTTATTTTCACGCTTGGTAGGGAGCACTCCGATTAAGTGTTTGGCTAAGGACACAGTAGTCTAGGAGGGGTTTGGGATGACTGCGCCTTCGCCAAACTGGGTGAAGTGGAACCAGGATGATTTATTCCCAACATTTAAAAACCCATTTTAGGATTCATTCATTATTTTTCACTCTTTTGTATGTCTTAATCCCCCACTCTCTCTGCCTCCTTCCCTCGTCCCTCCCTCCCTTTCCTTCTCTGCCCCTCTTTCCCCTGGATGGAGCAGAAGCTCTTATTCATTTTGGTACAACTGGTAAGAGTGACTTCAAGCTTGCTTCTCACGTGGGGCTCCTGAACTGTTGTGAAAGTGCTCTCTGAATTCATATGTAATTACTGTGGAGGAAAATGTCTGATGCTGATACAGCTGCCTTCAATGCCACTAATTCCCTAAGTGTCAAAAGTTGGATTTTTTTTATTTGACATTAAAATGTCCCCAATAGCAATGATGACATATTGGGGTCAGGATAATATGTTCCCTGGCTGGTTTTTGGTCATCTTTACTGCCTTCTCCAGGGGGTCATTCTTTTGTAGTTTGTGTCTCTGAAGACATGTTTGTAAAGCTGTGGCCCCTGAAATCATAGCCCTGTCTATTCCCAGCCCGGTGATCTGTGAAGTTACCTTTCTGGGCTGCGCATTCCCCTTTGTAAAGTAGTGATAGTAAGTGTGCTAGCCCCTCCCCACCATGAAGACCGGGGACACAACCCACTGTTTATCTTTGTGCAGTATGTGGTTAGTGGTAGCTCTTTGGGCTGTGGTGGGGCTGATAATGCCATAGCTCACTACGGTGCTTGCTCCCACAGTGTCAAGTGAGCGAGTACTTTATAAACAGCAGCATTAGAGCTGTAGCTGTAAGCACTGGTGGAATTGAGAAGTCCTTCAGGGTAGGCTAAGTGTCACGAGAACAACGTCCACGAATCTGAGTGTCTGCCTGCTGATGCTTTTCCTCCTTTGCTATCCATGCCAGAAGTGCAGGACCTGGGAAAAACCTCGAGCAAAATACAGGCGAGTCTTAGGTTGGTTGATTCTTTTTAAAAAGATGGTGATGGATTTGACTTGTCTTTGGAAAAAAAGGATATTCATCTTAAAGAATGTTAATGAACTAACAGGTCTCAAGATTAATTGCTTGAAAATTTTTTTTCTTTGTATGTGTAGTTGTTTTTTGTTTTGTTTTTATCTTTGGGGCCCACCACCCACTCCCAAATAAATACACGGAGACATATTCTTACCTATTAATGCCCCAACTTTAGCTTGGGTTGTTTTTAGCCAGCTTTTCTAACTTAAATTGTCTGGTTTCTCTTTAACTACATTTTGCCTCCAGGTTTTTTTTTTAAACCTTTTTTTATTTAATATATCTTTCTTTCCTTCTTACCCCATGGCTGGCTGGGTGGCTGGCCCCTGGCCTCATTCTCCTTCTCCTTTTCTTACTCCTCCCTCTTCCTTTTATTTCTCCTTCTATTTATTCTCTCTGCCTGGCAGTCCTGCTGATTTCTCTCTCCTGCCTAGCTATTGGCTGTTCAGCTCTTTATTAGACCAATCAAGTGCTTTAGACAGGTAAAGTAACACAGCAACATAATGCAACATAAAAATGCAACACATTTTGCATCATTAAACAGAAATTCCACAGCATAAACAAATGTAACACATCTTAAGATAATATTCCAAAGTGCACGTGTGTGCTTGCACATGCACATGCATGTTCACGTGCACATATGCATGTACAGACCAGAGGTTGACATCTGGTGTCTTCTGTTCTCTACCATACTTTTGAGACAGGTCTGTCTTTGAACTTGGAGTTCCCAGATTTGGCCAGACTGGCTAGCCAGCAAGCCCAAGGGGTCCTACTTCCTATGCTTATTCAAGGCTGGGATCACAGATGTGCCCTGTACCCAGCTCTTTCACATGGACACTGGGGTCGGCTCGGGTTCTTGTGCTGGCATGGCTAGCACTTTACTGGCTGAGTCGTCATCTCTCCAGTCCCTACGTTTCTGTTTTGAAGTTGTCTAATTTTGCCCCATCTATGGTGTTGTCCATTGCTTTTGTCTGCAGAAACGGAGCTTAGAAGGCACAACACGGGCGAGGAAGAGCACGATACGTCCTACTTGTGACAAAATGAGGCAGCACGGAAGAGGGCCTGGCTGTTTGCATGGAATTCCCTTGCACATTGCAGGCTGCGGCAGTGTGGGGGGCATAGGAGCTTTGCTTTGGAGCAACAATGGTTGCAGGAGGAAGAGCATCTGGAGGACAGAGCAGAGCTAAGGAATTAGAAAGGATTTGGAATGTGCCCCATGACAATGGCAATAAAGATCTTCATTTCTCTAGGTTTTGTCTTCCCATCTGAATAGTCAGCTGGTATTTTGAAGTTGGTAAGGAGTTTTCTTTGTTTGCCAAGGGGAAGGAATCTAGAGCCAGCCAGGTGAGAAAGACCCTGATAGACCTCCTAGCTCGAACTAAGCCTTGGTTGGCTAGCAGTGTCTTTAACCTGGTACTTTTCAGGGATGGAGATTTTGAAACCCTTGACTCAATATCTCCTGCTCATCTCTGTGGGCTCCCCTTCCCCTTCTGTCGACATTTCCATTTCTGTGGTATAAATTATCACCTTGAAACCATGTTCTCTACCTCGGGGTCTGCCTGCACTGTCAGGTAAAAGGAGAAGCCAGGGTCCTGGGTGATGAAGAGCCATTGTGTAGTCAGTATTCTTCCTCCGCCTTCCTTCCGTGAAGCTGCTGCCTGTGCCCCTCCTGGCAATGCTCTTCTTCTGATAACAGTAGCTCGTTTAGACCAGTAGAGCTGCCATGTCTAAATGACTTCTCTCAACTCCCAGTTAACTCCAAATCTGCCGTGGGATCTGACAAAGCGTTCGCGATGCTAGCTTACCTCTTAGCTCTCTTTAATATGGTCTCCCTGCTTGTTTACCCACCTTGGAATATCTCCCAAGAGCTTCCACTTGGGAATGATCAATGACGGAGAAAATGATATCTCCTCAGAGCAGTTTCGCGGTCCAAGTGGCCAGATACATAAAGGTTCAGAATGAGGAGGAGTGAAAAGTGAGACTAGGCTGGGAGCTGGAGAGAAAGGGCTCCTACAGTAGGCAGCTACTTTGACATCCACCAGTGATGTGGGGCCCATGCTGCATTCCGGGTTCCCTGACCCCAAAAGATCTTAGCTGCCTTTCCTGTCCTTTGCTTCTGAACGTTAGTCCCACTCCCCTGCAAACTCTTCCATGGACCGGGATCCCTGAGCTGTGCTTCCAGCTGAATCCCACAGGACTGGGCATGGCTCTAGGCGTCCTCTCAAGAAGAGAAGAACAGGGGCTAATCCTAGGCTGCAAGAACATCCCAGGAGCTGAAAAGGGTGGGAATACAGGCAGCCTCCAATGCTTAAAATCTTTCAACTTTACAATGGCACAGAAGTGTGTCAGTGGACACCATCCTGCACATTTTTTCTCCTTAGCGGCATCAAGCCACAGCGTCCGGTCAGCCATGAGACCAGGAGCGTACCAACGCACAGCCCACAGTGTATTGTATGCTGTGCCGTGGTGTTCCTAAGTTAGGTGGACTGAATGCGTTTTAGCTGACGATATTTCCAACAAAGTCAGTTGATCAGAATGTAACCTTGTGAAAAGTCAAGGGTATCTGTCCCGACGCTATGCTGGAATCACGGAGCATTATGGTGAGATTTATTTCTGCTTTATCATCTAGGCATTCCCTGCCTTCATTTGAAAGCTAAATCTGGGGGATGGGGAGATGGCTTATTGGGTGGAGTGCTGTCTCTGCTAGTCTAATGACTTGAGTTTGAATCCCCAGCACCCATGTAAAAAGCTGGGCATGGCAGCAAGCTCCTGAAATCCCAGTGCTGGGGAGGGAGAGACTGGGGGCTATCTGGGGCTTCTTAGCCAACCAATCTCGCCAAATCAGTGAGCTGCAGATGCAGTAAAAGAACCTGTCTCAAAAAAAAAAAAAAATTGGAGAGCAATTGAGGAAAAGCACACCTGACATGACTGCTGAACTTCACATGTGCCTGAGCGTGTGTGTACGTGTGCACACACAGCTGAACCTCTACTTTTAGAAACATCTTATCTTCCATATAACCAAACCTTGGTTGTTTTATGGACCACAGCAACAGATCTGATATCCCAAAGCATCTTATCAATGCTAATTAGTATCACTAAATGCTTATGTCACATTGCTATTTTGGTTAATGAAACATAAAATTTTTAGAATTCAAGATAATGATAACCTAGTACCTTTAATCTTCTGAAATTCTCTTTCTGAAGTAGAGAAGACTCTGTGGTGCTTGCAGTTGGGGTCTTGTTTCCAGCTGAAAGTTAAGGGAATTATTCTCCATAACAATATTCTGTGTATAATAGTGTCCTGTACGAAAAAAAACCTTTCTCATATAGAGGAAACTGCACACTACAGTTAAAATTCATTTGCAACTGACAGAAATATGTTAATTGCTTGGGTGAGCCATTCTTAATACAATAGGAATGATAGAGTTAAAATTCACTTGACTAATTTGAGTTTTTTTTAAATGTCAGAGATTCATGGTGCCTTTCTGGAGTTCATAACATGTTCCAGTCAAGGTTGGATGACTGGGCATTGTCTGTGTAAAATGTCACACGTTCAGATTTCCCAGTAGGAAAAGTAACTCTATCGAAGCAACCAGATCATAATGCTTTCAGGATCAGAGTGTCTTGAATCTTGATACTTCCAGCCTGGATGGCAAAACTCCCCAGGCTTTGTGTGTGCTTTAGCCACCGAGCTGGTCCTCGAGTCTCTCCCAACATTGGGATTCTAAAAGTTTGGACCGCACAGGCTAGCTAACTTCTAAGTAGTGAAAATGAAGGGGACAATTGTAATCCTCAGGAATACACAGTGTGTGGGTTTGTTTGGCCATTTCTGCTTCCCCACCACACTCGGCCTCTCACCCTGACCTTTGACTTCATAACCTTTGACTTCAAGTTACATAGCCTTGTGGCCATTGTTGACCTGCATTTTTTAATTTTATTATTTATTTATTTTTATTGTTATTTTTGCCACAAGTCACCATTAAGTTGCAGCATCCAACAAGCTCATCTAATGTCAATACCCTGAAGGTAGCTGACTGTCTTTGGACCTCATTACATCACATTTACTGCTTTCACTGGTTATCCTATCCATAAACACAGCCATGGCCTGTCTACCTCCTATTCATCCTGTATAGCTTAATGTTTAGTACTAGTGTCCTCGACAAAGTTCTTTGATTGGTCCCATCTCATGAAGGCTGTAGCCCCTTTCCTTTGCATCAATTGCCATAGACATCCCTATTTTTGGCAGTTAATACACCGACCAGGTCTGTGACATCTTGTGTCCTGTTAGAGTGGCTATTAATCACCAGTGATCTTATTGCACAGTGCCTTCCTGTGAGTTTTTATCTTACTGCTGTCCCATGAGACAGGTCCTATGGGCAGGGACAGGTGGCAATGAAGGATGGACCAGTACAGTAGGGTCTTCCTCAAGGTTCCACATCAGTAGGTGGCAGGGCCAAGTTTAAACTGGAGCCTTATTCTCTAAGTCCCTGCTGCTTGTACTGTACATGTTTCTTCCTCATGTCATTTATAGTCATGGCTTTCAGAGCTTACATCTGTAAGACCTTGTTCATGGGTTGTGTTACTCCTAAGATTTGCAAGAGAAGATCAGTTCTACAATTTTGTGCCAAATTTGAAGCAAGCCTTAATTAAATACTGACCAGGATGGGTTCTGGTCAGGCCACTCTGGGATACCAGCATAGAACCCCAATTCATGTTTTGCAGGCATTGAAAAAGGCAAGACCCACAGTTCATTGCATTCCCCAGCAGGTCCAATAGGAGCAAGCCTACATCCTAATTTATTTCCTGCCCATGTACCTCCCACCTATATGTATTCGTGCAAATCCTGTGTTGTTGGTGCAAACTTGTTTAGGGAAGTGAAAACATGTGGCTTTGTTATTTCCCTAGAACTACAACTCCCAGCATTCCAGGAAGTTATCATGTCCTTGGACAAGTGGGGCTTACAGGTTGACTTTGGCTCTTACAGTTGGTAGATTGAAGTGGGTTGTGGGTTTTTAAGGTTGGAGATCTCATAGTAAAATCCAGTCTGTGGAGTGAGGCATGATTAATAAAAACTCAGAGACAGATATTGGGGTTCAACCTGAAGGTCAGAAAAGCAAAACAGCCAGTCACTAGCTGTTACCTTGACTTCAGTCTGAAACGGCCTCCAGGATTCTCAGAATGAGACTGTGTCTGAGAGCTGTCTCCTCCCATTTTATTACCCCTCTAGGGCTGGGATTAAAGGTCTGCACCACTGAGAAAGGCAGGCACTGCCTGGTTTCTATGGCAGCTAGTGTGACTACTGGGATTAAAGGTGTGTGTCACCACGGCCTGGTCTGTAAGGCTGACCAGTGGCGCTGTTTTACTCTCTGATCTTCAGGCAAGCTTTATTTATTAAAATACAAATGAAATGCCACTACAGCGGAGAGCTGAGTCTGGATTTGGGCATGTTGAGTTTGAGATGACTGGTGGCCATCGAAGAGGAAATGTGCAGTGTACTGTTGGATATTAGGTAAAATAGGCTAGGATTGGGGAAGCTTTGGTTTCCATCCCTCTTCATTCACAGTGCAGGTGGCTGATGGATGAGGCTGTTCTGTAGTCTCTCCACTGTGGGAGAGACTTTTGTTTTTGCTTCCTGTATCATATATGAAGCAGTAGGAAGAAAGCCAAGTAGTAAGTAGGTACCATGTGGACTCAGATGCAGGCCAAAGCGCTGTAGCCTTCTCTTATATATAACAAGTATGCTTATGACTCATGCTTTTTGAAGTCATGGTTCTTTAATATCATTTTGAATAATCTGATTAGTATCACATTGTATCACAAAGTCCTTATGGCTCAAAGAAACGGTGGAAAGGAGTAAGTTAAGCTAGTGTGAGTGCAGGCAAATTAACAAGAGTAGCTAATATTAAAATTGAGCTGTGTATTGTAATAAGTTATTCATCTTATATATTTTTTACTTTTTACTTTTTTAATTTTTCATTTAATATTCTAAAACATTTAAACTTTGTTTATTTTGAGTGCATGTGTGTTGTGTGCACACATGAAGTCGGGGGATACCCTGCAGGAATCAGCGCTCTTCCTACAGTGGATCCTGGACATGGAACTAAAGCCCTCAGACTTGGCCACAGGCACCCTACCCACTAACCCATCTCACTGGGCCTGCTACTTAATATTTTTGAGCTGTGGTCGGATGGAGCTAACAAACTGCAGGACATAAAGCCCTGGGAAGAGGCAAGCTGTATCTTTAAGGGA